ACAATGGAAAACCCATCTCATTATATTCTACAAGTATCCTTAGGCTGCAGTACAATGGGTTGCCGTATCTGTGTCAAGGTGGGATGCATTTTTGTGGTGGTCAACCACTCTAAATGGGGTTCGGCCGGGGTGGAAGTTGTGCCGTGACTTGTCCTCTTCATTTTCCCAGAGGACCGTCAGCTATTTGGTTGACCAAAAGGGAACCCAGAGTCTTTAAACAACAACAGAATTTTCAAAGTCGTCAGATCTTGATGATCCAACAGCCACCAATAGGCCTGGCCACAGGCGGCTCGCATGAGCACTTGTATGCTGGCCATTGTTATCAATATCAACTATTGAAATAAACTCCGAAAACTGAAGGACACAGATTCAGCAATGATCTCTCCAAAAAACAAAAACAAAAAAAATCTTCGGCACAAAAAAATAAAATTACGGAGGATAAAGGACGCATCTTTTTCTCGTCACTGCTACCCAAAGGCCAAATTGTTTCTACTCACTGGGCCATTCTCGTCACTGCTACCCAAAGGCCAAATTGTTTGAACTCACTGGGCCATATGCTCGGAGCTGTCAGCCCTAAGGCCGTATTATATTGGGTTCCGAGTCTCCGACATCTATATCTGCAGCCCAAAGGTTGCAATGACAAATACCACATTTTCTCTCTCTCTCTCTCTTTTAAACCACCAGTACTTGGCCCAGCTATCAGGCCTGGAAAATCAATAGAGTAGGAACATTTCTAGTCTGATGAAATCGGATGCTGCTGTAGTGGCCCGTACATTTCCTAAAGTTGCTGCTTGTTTCCAGGCACCACTTTAGCGAGTACTGGTGGTTCAAGTATTTTTTACAAGATAACAATTCATTAAACAAACAGATGGTGTTTCTCACAGCTATATCCGTGAGGTTCATTCTGTTGTTTGTTTCATTTTTTGTTTTGAAATTCCAGTTTCCTTTCTTTAGGTTTTCCTGCCAGCGAGGCACGGCATTTCCATGGGGCAACAGTCCCAACTGGCACATCGACGGATGAATCCAACCCCGTTTCAGGCCCAAACAGCATTTCCTTTTTTTGTGTCTCCTTTGCTTTAATGATTCTGACAACACGGGATGTTTCTCTTTTTTTTTTTTTTTTTTTTTTTGTCTTCTTTTGTCTATACTCTCACGCCCTCATTGAGAACATGCTCTCACTACCACTTCCCGTAATGTATCCAACTGCATTCTCGTCACTAGCTTTATTGTTGCGTGTGTGTGTGTGTGTGTGTGTGTGTGTTTTACTAGTTCTTCAAAGGTCGACCTGTCTGGCGACAAAACCTCCAGGCTCGGCAGGTTCGGCATACCGGTCCCCCGAGTTTCGGACTGCATAGCTGATCGAGGTACTGGTGGTTTAGGTTAAAAAGAAGGGGTACACACAAAAGCATTAGCTATAAAAAGGAGGAGGTCCGTGCAGCCTCAGTTTTGAAATGACAGGGGAGACCGAAGCTACTTGATTTCAACATTCGAGCTGATGAAAAACCATTTGAAAGGTATCAATTCTGGAAACTCCATATTGGCTTCAGCCTCGAGGCCAACTCGCTGCTTCCCCTCTTGTTTTTTTTAAGAATTGGTCTCACAATTTTCCTACTTCCTTGCTGCAAAAAAACCTAATGACCGGTCCCATGACAATCTCAACGCATAAATGTCATACTTGTTGACATACACGGTAACACAACCGCCCTAAGCAAGAACTCTAATTCCTTTCTGACAAATGCCATTGACTTTATTGATTCAGTAGGCCGAGCCCTAAAAAACATGGCACATTTGACAGGTCTAGCTATGAAGCATCAGAGTCTGCATGGTATTCTAAACCATTGTTATAATCCAGCGGCCTAACTCAGTTGGTAAAGTTCCCAATTCGCATTCAGGAGGTCGTGGGTTCAATCCCCCTTGGCCTGATGTACCTTCCTGGGCGTGCTTGGCGCCCGCCAAGTAGAGATAGGCCCCTGAAACCCCCAATTGGGGATTGAGCAGGGATTGGTCATGTTGGCTTATGGTGGGCCCTGATGTTCGTAGGGGTAGGAGTAGAGGAGGGGACCACCACCTGAGGGGAGGCACAGGGATTGGTCCTGTTGGCTTATGGTGGGCCCTGCTGCTACCGGCTGTCCCTAGCCCGTATCCCCCACCTGGAGGTCAGGAGCAGCAGCCCCGGCATGTGTTCTGTCATGAACACAGTTCTGGCTATTCCCTTATGCCTACAATTAGTAGTAGTGGTAGGTAGGTAATGTGAGGTGAAATTGAGAGAAGAATATTGCTTTATAAAATAAAATAAAAAACATTATTATCCAGACATCAGTTCATCAGTGCCAAAACATTGGGCATCTATTGATAGGACGGAAATATATATACATAACATATATATAATAATATTATAATATAAACTATATATATAGGGTTCAGCCTCCTGATGAGCCGGTGAGACTCCAACAAAACAGTTTGTCACAGCCCATTCTTTTTTGTGCACTGAATTAATTTTTGTTTCAATTCCTAGTTTTATTTAGAACGATAACTATTCAAATTACTCCGGTAATTGAAAATTGACAAAGTCCCGTACTCAACATTTTGCAACACACTCTCTCACTCACCTGTATGTAAGCTTAATAGATACATATTACGGATAATTATATTTTTTTAATTAATTTTGTTTTTCAGGTAAATAAGGCTAAACAAGGCTACCAGCTGCCATCAAATATTCGAAATCGCACACTCAAGACCTCAACCCCTGTTTGAGTTTTCACTCGCAGAGCAGGATCGGTCCTACTGACTCCTACACTTTTCAAAGGCACACGACCACCTCATCCACACCTCATTTTTTAGCGATCCCCACGCATTCTTAGGGTGAAAACAGCCCTTCAACATCAGTTCTCCCTAGAGAGAGAGAGAGAGAGAGAGAGAGAGAGATAGAGAGAGAGAGAGAGAGAGAGATGGGTTCAAAGCTTATTGTTGAGCACATCCCACCAATTGTTCTGTCACGCACGTTTCCATGCTCATGCTGTGAAGTATAACGTACTCGTTTAGGAAACTAGAGTTGGGGACACCTCGTCGTTCAAACATTCAAGCTTCCTTTTTTTTTTTTCCGGGACCATTTCTAAATTAATAGGTGACATCTTCGTAAGGGCTATGCTCATGTTCTCTTCATTGTTCCAATTTTAGCAGTTATTCCGTATTACACATTTGTTGCCCGATTTCGGAGACTGAATGGGCAAATCCACCTCTTTGACGTACAAATTGGGAAGGTTTTGCCAGACACGTAGTTTCATGAAATGACATCTGTGGGCCCAGGTTTCAACCTCAACGTAGTCCTTTCCTTTTTTGTTTCTTTGAGAAATGTGGCAAGGGTAATTGCCTCATAAGGGTAACAACTTGTGTTTGTGAAGGCTGAACGGGATGCGACAGCGCTCTGTAAGATGGCAACGCACAGCGGGCAACCACCCTCAGGAGGTGCGTTGGCACTCGGACCCTCGTGTCACATGCGCAATGACGATACTAGTCGAGGCAACGGACCAGCGGATTGGCACGAGCATACACACTACAACTACGAGTCGGATGTGCCATAAGAAGGGTCATTATATGCACAACGGCACGGTGAGCCTGATCAAGTATGTTGTCGCGCCGAGTGTTGGGACATGGCATAAGAATTCTTATAAGCCGCAGCAGTACAGGTGGAAGTGCTCGGATACAAGTAGGAATTGCCCAACCATGTGGCTGGGGCCGTAAGGTTTGGGTGGTATAGGAAGTAGTCGCCTATTCTGTTTGACCGGGCGGTCAGCCCCAACAGTACAGGTGGGAGTGCTAGGATAACAGTAGGAGTTGCCACGGCATGCGGCTGGGGTGGTGGATTAAAGAGGTCCAGTCATTGACATAATAAAAAAGAAGGGAAAATTACGTATGTACCCCACTTAAAGATAGGGATACCGGTTATACCCAGTCCAAGCGCCCGCTAGCTTCTATACCCAAAGAACGGCTTGCGGAAATTCTTTACATGCCCAGGACCGAGTTCGACCCCGGTTGTTACCGCAAATTTACAGTTATAAGCAAATCATCAACCGGAATGGATTAATTATGCACATGTGCAGGCAAAATTATGGGCATAGCCTAGACCGTAGGAGCAGCGGCCAAGTTGTTAATACACCCTGCTGCTGCTGCTACCGGACGGCTGAAATTATGCTCATACCCAGCACAGCCATTGGGTCATAGCAGTCGGGCACTGGACTTGGTGGCATGGACACGACCGTAATTTGCTGCTCCGAATCGAGGGTCTGTGGGATTTGGTCCACGTACAATTTCGCACAGGGGAAGAGCTGGGTTCTACGCAATGTTGAACGGCCTCCAGGTATATATGCACGTTCGCTCTGGGACTTGGTACAGCGGACATTCGCATCGTTAAGTGGGGGGTACAGATGTAACTTTCCCTCAAAAAAGAGTTGAAATATGCCGCATGCCCTTGTTCCCAGTGATCCACAACGCATCTTTTCATCAAAATATGCAGGGAAATGTCCAAATCATTCATCCAGATGTACCCATCTGAACTCATGCTTGGTACATAAAAATTGGGTGTCCCAATCATTCATCCAGTTCTACCACGCGCCAAATATTTGTCCAGATGGCCTTTCGCTCTGCCCATGTTCTTTCCACTCTTGCAGAGAAGAGCTGAGTTCAAATTCCAATGGAGTCAGATTTACTAAAAAGGTACCGGCATAGGTTTAACAGCGAGAAGGCCACGTCTTTGCACACATACCAGGATCGCATTCACAGCACAGCATTTGTTCATCGTGTTATGACAAGGCTGAAAATGCTAAGCTCGTATTAATCACATGATTCATGAATTATCTGCAAAAACGTCAACATCATCACCATGGCACAGAGTGGCTTGTGAAGACTCGACGAGTGTGACGCAATCTGATCAAAGACACGGATAATGTATACGTGGAAAGCAACAAAGCAACGCTACCACGTCACTTCATCTAAAAGTCAGAGTTACCCTCCACTCTTTACTTTTTGGAGCAGGCTCTAACGAAAAGAGGTTTGGCCCTGGCCCTGAAACTTCCTTGCTCGGGGGGGGGGAGAGGGGGAAGGGAGGGAGAATCTTTACAAAACTCTACCAAGTAGAGAGCCTGTTTATTCCTAAACTTATGCTGATTAAAAAAGGCAAAAAAGCACGAGACAGAGAAAGATAACACGCATCTGGACCGATCGAAGCAAAAGCCATTAGTATACCACAGTTATTAACAGAAAAGAGATGCGGCTCATCTCCTACGAACTTGATCAGCACTGGACTTTATAACAGAGCAGAACACAATCAACACCATACAGGAGAAAAGACCTTTCACCCCTTCTAGAGCTTATCGGCAACCAAGATCTGGAAAAACGTTTTCACTAAATGACGATGGAGCATGAACAAGGAAAAACATTCCCAAGGCAAGCGCTGATCAACCTTCGCAAGAGTTGAGAGCACCGAAACAACTTTGCAGTATGCGCACAAGCACAGTGGTACAAGGATGATCAAAACGCTGAATCAGGAAATCCCGCTTGTCAGGAACAAGCACACACACCCTCCTTTCTGCACTTAATATCAATCATCTCCCAACCGATGCCTACCTTGATCCGGATGCGACCTAGCGTTCAACTTACAAGTCGTCTTCTCGCCAAGCATTTCTTGCCCAGGACTTACTTCAGCATCATGGGAAAAATGGATAAAGATTCGAACCCCCTGCTGCTGGATGCTTAAACCCCCCATCCTCCCTCCCTCCATTGCATGTCCTTCTTCCTGCCAACCGTAAACACAGTGAAGTATTTTACCCTAGCGACGCATGGATGCAAGTGGCTGGCAGTCGACCAAAACTGCCATCGCCAGCGAGTCAGATCATCAAAACCCTGCTCAGTATGCAATCAAGGCTACCATCACAACAGACAGCAGGAGCAAGACACATATTCAACTGGCCAACTTTCAAGCTGGGCACAGCACAACTGCAGAGGGAGGTATGTAATTGAAAAATTGCGCATGAAAGCAACACAAGCCCGACAAGGCTGCAGCCGACCCCATGCACATATTTGCAAAATGGGCGTCACAATCCTTTCAAAATGTGATTCGGATATTGCTGTGGGGTCATCACAGCTGTGTCATAAAAAGAGGTAGGAGACTTGGGATGGCAGTGAATCAAAAAAATCTGCACAGGGATACACAGGTAAAACCTGTCATTACGTTGACCATTGACGAGACAGGTTGGAGTCGCAAGCATTACAAGCAAACTGATGATGCACTTCCCCCTCTCGCATATAGCATTTCAAAGCAACATACCGTTTGCGGAAGTCGTCGTTTCAAGACAAAACAGTCCTTCAATTGCTTATGAAAATATAGCAGGCAAAAAATTGAAGAAAAGAGTGAAGTAAGAGTGGGTTCATATGTATCCGACCACTCCCCGAAAGGCAACCTGATGAATGAAAAAAGATATTTCTCTCACCTTACAACTTCGAGCCTCCAGGAGCTGAACCATCCTATACCCTGCCTCAGTCTGTACATTAACCGGCAGAGCAGCTATACCTCAAACACTACCGAATGTCACTCATCGAGGTCATTGCTGCTGCAGGCTACACACACAACGTGAAGATCACCGAATAAGATACACTACTTTCTTGTCCCAGCATCCACGTGAAGATGCCGGTCACGGAAAGAAACGCCCCACGTAAAGAAAGAGGGTTCCGCACACAGTCTAAAAAGGACTTCCCCTTCAAAACACAACGGCCTACCTAAATCACATATAACCATAATTAGGGGTACCGTTCGTGGGCATCCCCATTCCAGGACCTTGTGGCATTGGAGGGCCATACAAGGGCATTCCATGAGGGGGAGGGGGCGGCGGTCCAAGATGTCCAGGAGGCCCCGGTGGAGCCATCAAACCTGGGCCCAGGTTAGGACCAAGATGTTGGGGGGGAGGACCTCCCGTCAAGCCCCCCTGGAGATGAAGAGGTGGGGGAGGGGGCATACCTGCTGATCCATAAGAATGCAAGGGGCCAGGAGGTGGAGGCCCGGGCGGTCCTTGACCCTTGGCCGCGATTGCGTGTGCCTGTTCATAGTCCCAGCCAGTTACGGGCTGTGCAACGCCATCAACTGTCAAAGGCATCGGCGACGTGTACTGACTGGGCTGATAGGAAGGAGTGTAAACAGGAGTCGAATCGATCAGAGGTGAATCGATGGAAACTGGAGTCGTTGGCATTGTCCGCTGCCCGGGTCCAGTTGGCGTGGAGGGTAGGTTTGGATTTGTGTAGTCGCGGCTCCTTTCATTGTTCACCTGCTTGAGAAAGGAAGAAGACAAGAGACAACACATACATAACCAACCAGATTAGGATCACCACACACGGAAAGCAAGAACCCATCATTCTACACTAAGAACAGCCACCCACACCACAATGGTTGGAAGGGGACAAAAGCATCATGACCCAGACACTCACGGAACTAGAACTTGTTCCTATTGCAAACCTTTCCCCTAACAGCACGTATAATCTTTCAGCAGTCGTCGAGGAAATCTTCCTTTCTGAAAGAGAAAATGTATACACTTTTGCTGTCTAGAACGAACAGAAAGTGTGTCTGCTTTTCACCCATCCTTTTCCGCAAAACGAATCCCCATAGCTCCATTTTATATTTTCCGAGCAGCCATACATCAAAAACTTCCCCTATGGGACAGGCGATTCATACACTTTAATAAGTCGTAACAGAAACTACAAATACCTCTGGTTTTCATGCTTGCAGCCATTCGTGAACCAAAAGAACAAAGAGAAGAACAGCCGTCGTCCTATGTCCAACAAAAACTACAAATACGTCTGGTTTTCACGCTTACAGCCATTCGTGAACCAAAAGAACAAAGAGCAGAACAGCCACTCGCACTATCAGCGATTGCAAAATACCATGCACTATGAAGCGTTCATTCTCCATTACCTTAACATTCAAGTCTGTATGCCGTGAAAAGGAGAGCCGGAGCTTGCAGAATCCTCCGTCATATATGCAGTGGCCCTCAAGGGACTCCTTCGCTTGAACAGCAGTCGGAATGTCTGCACGAAACACAGAGATTAACATCCAAAACCATTAACAACCCAGTGGTTTTTAGATTCACATTCGCTCGCTGATCATCAAGAGAAGAGCTCTCACAAGATCCTACTTATGCATAAAATAAAAGTTTCAGGAAAAAAACACGAAGCTGCTTGTTCCCACGTACCCACCTGGATATTGCACTAGGGCTTGAAAACCTGCACTTTTCTCGAAGATAGCAATCTTTTGCACAGGACCAAAAGCTGAGAAGACCTGTTTGAACATTGCACAAGAAGCCCAAAAAAAAGAAAGGGATGACGACTTAGTCACTTTTACATCAACTACTAGTTCATAATAGACGAAATAATGTCAGCGAGCCTGATAACATTACATTTAGAGAGCATCTGGAGAGCATCTAAATGATCCAGATATCCACCTCGCTGTCATGGTACACCATTCACCAGCGACACGTGTGGATCATGTGTGCAGATACGACAACTTCTCAATAAGCCACACATGCAAAGAACGAGGCTCAACCACTTTGTCAAAACCCACAACAGTTGATATTCCACGTACCGATTCTGAAAAAAATGAGAGATCTGCATAACCTCTGTAGGAAAAGAGAGAGATTGGATCCTTTCAAACCGTTTGTAAGGAACGTTATTGGTTTCAGAACATTGAGAACGACAATAAGTTTTATATGTAGAAAAGATGCAACTCTTACGTACAGAAGCTTCACTAGGTCCATTTGTAGATGCTTGTCTGTTGAAAAAGCATTCGCGTGTGGCTCGCCAGAGTTGGAAAATTTGGTCACATAGATCTTGTATTTTGCCTAAATTTGTCGGTTACTATGCACAAGTTTATAACGGAAAATATTTTTTTGGTTTACAAATTACTAAAGATATGGTTGGTCATAAATTTGGAGAATTTGCTTCTACACGTAAAACTTCAAAAACAAAAACGATACGAGTCGCAGCAGCGCCCTAAACCAGGCGACTCTGGCGATACAGCAGACGCGAAGCGTCTGCTCTGGCGCGCGGAGTGAGTGCCAGGATAGAATCAAGAAGTGAACCACGAATCTCAATTCTCTCGTCTAGACCCAAGCAAGTGCACACAGCCCAAGGCCAAGGGCACAATTCTTCGACACAGTCGATCATGGTATTATGTATAGTATCTGCAAACAGCATCTACAAGATTTACTTATATATTAGCTTGTGATAACTTAAAAACAGGTAGCCCGGTCATGAATAATGTGCACAGCTTTGGGAACCTGGAGCAAGATTTGGGAAATTGTGTACAATTAGCATATATACCAGTGGGTACTTGATTCATAATATTGAATGGAATCCAGGCCAAGGTGCCAAATTCGTTCGGACTGCAGGGACTTTTGCTCAATTGATTCAAGGGTCTTTGTTTTACATGATCAGTATGATTCTCCTGTTAACAAAGAAAATCATATATAAAACACAGGCCGCGTTGGCGGAGATTTCACAACGGCCTGGAGTAATGGAAGTCTCCAAAGTTGACTTGCGTTTAACTAATTTGAGCTTATTGATCCTTATGAAACCTAACTCTAAAATGTCTATACCATGCTGTGTTTCCTATATTTGTTTCCAACTCTGCGGCGAGCCTCCAGAGGCTCGCACACACACCCATACAAGGATCCAACCTGTGTGTGTGTGTGTGTGTGTGTGTACACACACACACACAAAGAGACGCACACAATGTAAAGTACGCCAGATTTGATATTCCAGTCCAAGTTGTTACCAAAACCTAAACACCAAAAAGCATTATCCCAGTTCCCATTGTGCACGAAGGATAACCCTCAGCCAGACTACTCTGAACTGAGAACTTCCAGGTCAGTGCCCCTCAATTTTGCACGAGTTACAATAATGACCTTCCATCGTCCATTGGCATACTAAGCATACAATCACAAAAGTATCCCCCCAATACAGAGCTTCGTAGCTTACTTTTTTTTTAACACATCAAATGCGCCCACAAATCGTAACGTCTAAAGTCACTATTGCTTGCTGGTATTGCACATAACCGACTTTGGCAAGCTTGACTTACCGTATGCAAAACATCTATGGTAACAGCGTACTGCATGTTCTCAATCGATACGAGGAGCACGTTGCTCTCTGGCTCCCTCTTCTTGTCACAGGAAGGCAACAATATCAAAACAGATAGATGGTCAGCACTTCCGTCAAGAAGAAATCCAACCAATAAACCTTGCAATACACACATGTACAAAAGCAGCTCTTTCTCACAGATCGCATGATCCTTCATCATACACCCCCTCTTCGTTATAAATGCCAAAGAGGCATTGGTATGCGTTTGAGAAAACACTTCGTTAGGTAACTAGAGAGTGAATACACCCACCAATCACAGTTACGGCCGACCAGAGCAAGCAAAGTGTGCACAAGTGGCTCATGGCCCGTGCTGTACCAGCCTCCTACAGATGCTGCCCACAGCAGAAAATCCTGCACTACCTTTTGCCTGTACGTTTCCACCATTAGCAAGTGGTTTTTCTGTGAAGCGCTCACGCGCCTATGGGGCTTCACTTAGGTCTTTCAATCTCCGTTGATGAGAACTATAATAGGTGTTCGTTCAAACATATACCATATCAGAAAAAAATCCCACACAAACTTGGGAACACCGCAGTGTGAACAACCTGACAACCCACTAAGACCCGAACAGACTATTAGAAACTTACAAAAGGACAGAATCGCAAACCGAGCACGTACAGGTCTGCAAACTAGGCCTATGGAACCAGGACAGGACAAACCTTGGAAAGCCCCACACTTGACAGATCGAAAAGTAGAGTCCTGGTGATTCAGAGTAAGTCCTCAAATTCAATACCAGATGTCCCAAGAGCTAGGGCGAAGTGCCAAAAGCTCTTCTGGACGGAAATACCAAGACAAGAGCTGATTTTTCTAAATTTACAAAATGTCCCAAGAGCTAGGGCAAAGTGCCAAAAGCTCTTCTGGACGGAAATACCAAGACAAGAGCTGTATTTTCTAAATTTACAAAACTTCATTATGTTCTTCGGCTTCTCCAAGTTCGAATCAGTAAAGGCATGACAGCGCTTCAGTGTGTCACACAGTGCACGGCATGCAGTGAGCCATTCTAGTATGCACGGAGAGGCAAACTGGGCAAAGATAGACTCAGGCAAAGATGGGCGCAGCCACGAGGGAGAGCAGAAATGGGCGACGGCGGTGGAGAAGTCAACGGGCAGGGTGGCAGCTCTCTCTCTCTCTCTCTCTCTGTGAATTGTGCTAAGAGGGGTGTCATCGGGTGTAGATGGCCGCAGCCAGGAGGGAGGGCAGAAATGGGCGGAGGGGCAGAACAGTCGAGTGTGCCAGCTCTCTCTCTCTCTCTCTCTCTCTCTCTCGCTCGCTCTTCGTGGAGCCATACAAGAACCACATCGCATATATAACACCCACAAACCTATTTGTTCACATGCGGCCACCTACAGCCTCTCGGGATAACGTTGGGGAGATGCTTACGTGAGACACGATTGCAGACACTCCTTGCAGTACGGACGATTAAACAAGAGCATGCCAACTTGCTTCTACACTGATAACCTTGCAACGACTATGATTAAAAAAAATTGAGGAAGAGCATGTCATGCTGCTTTTATAATGCCCATATTGCAATTGCATCGCGAACAAGACCATGGGGAATCCTGAGCAGAAAATCATGAGCCAGAGCATACACAAACCTCCAGAAGGGACAGAACACACTCCAGAAGGGCTATGAGATCACCCCTCAACTCACCCATACAGGGAACAGGCAACATTAGAAGACAATTTGATTCCCTGCTCAACATGGTCCTACAATCCACAGCCATTGTAGATACTGTTGCTCCCAATCTACAGCCAGTACTGAACCTGACAAATTTCCCGAGGCTGCCAAATTCCGCCAAGCTTCACCCACAAGGCACAAATGAGTTGGGCCCCGACATCCGACGCACCCTGCCCCTGCTCACACCGGGTAAGTGCATTTCGCCATTACACCACAAGCACATTGCCCCAGCCAAGTTGAGAATCCGAACTAGTCTCTCCGAAAACATCCGAGGCTCGGGATGGGGCATCCGAAGGGCCAATAGAAAACTAAATCATCCCATGCCATGGGTTGGCACGAGGCCCATCACTGAACAAAAAGAATTCCGCCCACTCCCTGGTGGGCCCTATCCCGAGTGCCCTAACTTTTCGAGGAGCCTCATTCGACTTGTCCAGATGTACTGCTGGTTTCAACCCAGCAAGCACATTTTGGCATCAACACCAGCAAGCACATTTATTTTGCAATCATCAAGACAATCTTACCAAAGCCGCCATACCTGAGCACCTCCATCAGTGGCTGAAGCAGCAACAGGCAAATAAGGGTTTGTATAATCCCTGCAACAATCACAGAGAACATCGAATAAAGTCAACAACATATAGCTGCAAGTACACACGGTAAATACAAATAAATTTCACAAAATCACACCGGAAGTCGACTATCATTTATGAAGAACACTACACAAAAGTTCCTTTGCTGGTGCTACTCCATATTCCAGAGTATCAGGAAAACAACTGTAGCTTCAAATGTTCATGACAGCTTGACGGGGTACAATTGACAATGGCTGGCTGAGCTCAATTTTTACTATGGAGAGCTACTGAGGTGAGCACCATGTGACCGTTTCCGTCATCTACATTTCCAAACGAAGGATCATTCACTCTCTCATCACAATCACAAGCAGGATGAATTCCAGGACACTCATATTGGTCTTTATCACACACAAAATGCACACTTCAAAATATTTTCCGAGACGAGAACTAGCTAACAAGAATCAAACCTTTGCATGAAAGAGACCCGACACTTGGCAACCCCCCCCTAATGCAAAAAACACACAGAAAGGAGTAACCTCCAGTCTCTTGCACATCGACGAGACAAGCCAGCCAGTTCCACTTTCTTTCCCCCTATTCATTACGTTCTTATTTACTGATCCTACCGTTCCTGAAGCCCAGATGCTGCTTTCCATAGCAGGCGTTTGCATATATTTGAACATGTCTCCGAGGCAAGAGTTGTTTGTATTATTATCTTATTACATCACATCCATTTTCTTCCGACTTTTCTGAGATTTTTTTCTGTTCTTTTAATGTTTGGTTTCGGAGGGTTTTGGTTCACCGAACGTGAACACTAACCGAACGTGAACACAATGTTATGCAGACACCCATCTTCTTAAGCAACCACACTGGTAAGACAGCAACAGCGCAAAATGTCACATACCTGCTCCTATGACTTTGAAACTTGACATTCAAGTCATTGTGAGCTGAAAATGAAATTCTTAGCGAGCATGGCCCAGCATTATCTGGCAAAAGGTACCTGCAGCAAATCGTGAACAACGCCAGGAACACATTCTTAAGCGATTGTTTCAATTCTGAATATAAATGATGCCCGAAACGGTTGCTGTTTTCCAAAAGTACAGTCAAAGGTTGCCCGCCACTAAACAAAAGGAGAATAACACAGTAACCAAGGAATAGTCTGCACAGTGCCCTCCAAGAGGCCCCTTATAAAATTGCACACAAACTCGCTTCCGGTGTTCATCTCATAAGGATAACGATCTATTCATCTCACATGCAACCCAAGTCATTCCATCACTGGTGTTTCGTGTTTTAGCAAGCTTCTTCAAGTGTGGAACGTGCAATGTAATACTGCAGAACGCATGGCATGAACACAAACTGACTTCGAATGGGGAGGGGGATCGCACAGGCGTGCAAAGAAGAGTCACCGGCACACATCACATTACTGTGCTCATGCCATTCCTCCGAACAGAAGAGCACCGCACCCTTCTAACAATCTTGCTCGGCCAATCTCCCCTTGGCGTGGCCACACAAGCCCAATGACTGGACAGAAACTCGTTCAAAGCGATTGGCACTTCCGGACAAGTCTCTCACACTTCCCATTCTCTTAGTTGATGACATTCACCTAAGAGATGACAGCAGAAAACAGCAGATTGTGACAGCCATCGTTCCCCTAAAACAACACGAATCAGCCGAACATTGCCCAATCCTTACAGTACCCTGCTTTACAAACCTAAGCTAACTGTATGTGAATAACTTACCCTAAGCTTCTCCAAAGGAAAATCACCTGCAATCGGATGTAATGTAAATGTGACTAGGCAGGTGCAGGCAAAACTATTGAAAGGGAAAACCACTTGCAGTAAGCAGACTTGCCAGCTGCCTGGAAAAACTATTGCAGGGGAGAACCACTTGCAGTCACTAGACTTGTCATCAGGCGGCAAGTGCTTGCAAACGTAATGGCGACATAAACTTACCTCGGTATACTTCTGCCCTCCAACGCTGCTTTTGCTGATGCTGCAGTTGCCGCATCGCCAAACTGCACGAGTGCCTGAACAGCACAACACCAAAAACACAAGCGATAGCACGCTGGTGATAAAAGTAATTTCGCAACTTCTTTATTCAGCACCAATATACATCCCAGAGAACAATATGATGCTCACCACCCCCAAGATGCATATAACCATCATCATCACTAAACAACTGCCGTCCAAAGCACAATGCCCTGCCCGCCTGCGCTGACAATGGTATGTAATCAGTGCTGAACCGCAACGACTTCGATGTATACTCAAACCATCCCTCGCCATCAGCTACAATTATGCACATGACAACCAGGCGCTCCATTGCAACCCCCACAGAAACACTGCTACAGATGCCGAACAAGTCACTCCAAACGATCATGGAATCTCCACTTATTATTACAGTGTTCTGAATGTATAACCAAAAGCACCCAGCATAGGATGGTACTGCCGACACAGACTTGGCTGCTGCCCAGATATTAACACGACCCATGTACTAAAGCACTCCCAAACCCAATCTAAACGCAGTCTAGTCCTTGCCATAACCAAAAGAGGAAAGAAACAGTGCCACTACAGACAAAACAGCATCACATGCAATGAAAAAAGAGCACACCAGTGGAAGCGCATCAGCCAGGATTGCCCACATTTCTAGCCCCAGAGACCCATAGCACGGTCCAGAATGATCTCTGCAATGGACGATTTGGCATTTGCAGCAATAGACAGGGTGCCCCTACCCACTGCTTTCAAAACTTTGTCATGGCTCTTGACAGCTTTTCGGGCCTCGTCGTAGAGCACTCGGGATGACTACCTCAAATTCACTAAGGCCATCATCAAAGCTCAATCAGAGTATCAGCTAGCCACTACTTGCGAGAACCAATCAGCGGGTCTAATTTACTTTATTAACCACTGCTACTCCAGGGTCTAGGGGTGATACAAGCAGAAATATTCTACCATCATCTTCGAAATTCACAGAGCTACAAGGGGAGTCCCTTCAACTTCACACCCCCACACTGGCTGGCTGGGAAAGTAATTAACTGGGGTCCCGTTACACACACATTTCATGCAGCGCTACTTCGACTCTATACCCCTGCAATACCTTCTCTGCCTGACTGGTAGTAAAGGATGTCAACTTCGATCACCGCACAACTGCACCTCTAATCCTCTTTCGAGCACCGTTGAATTGTGATGCCACCGTGCTCTAGTTTCATCTATGCCGCGTTGGATTGCGATGCCACCGTGCTCTAGTTTCATCTATGCATCAATTGAGCCATTCGTTGCGCAGCCTCGTTCTTTTCACCCCATTTTCCCAGCTGTTCACCCATGCTTCTTTTCAGTGCAGCCAATCACATCTGTCACTTTCTGACGATGACGACGAACGGAGGCAGACAAAACAACACGCAGACCAATAAATAATCCAGGATAATAAGAGGATAAGACAATTTCCTGATCGCTAAAAACTCACTTTAATCTAGAAAAATCTAGGCTCTTCCATGCGGAGCTTCAGACATTGACACCCAACCGGACCCCAGCAACTGTTCTATTCCAGGAATGCTTTTTGAATTTTACACCCAGCACCCGCATTCCTAAAGGATATCAAGATAGATAGATACTATAGACGAGCCCGCAATTTCTTTCCTTCGCTAAGCACGCTGTACACCCTTGTGCGATACTCCTCTCGGCACCATTGCGAATTGCTATCTGTTTAATTTCGGCTGAGTCTATTTCTCTAGTCACCAGTACTGTGCTCGACACTGCCAAGTTCATCGCAAACTGTTCGTTTATCCACTTCTTTGAATCAGACGCACCTCTCCCCAAACCATTCCTTTCTTGCCTCGACATCCTTTATTATTATTCCCCCTAAACTCACTGCATTACATTGCAGTTGATCAGCGCAATTGGACTTTCCACAAACCTAGCTGCCCGTTATTCATTCATCCATCGATAGGTCCATTCATCATCACTGACATCCCCTTCCATACTTCTGCTCATTCATAAAGAAAGTCTTTCCCTTGATCGTTCCTTTGTTTAGCCATACAGACAGCACCAATCGCCCTGGGAGAAGAAAGCACAGCCATGAGAGGACAGAGAGCAAACGACAAGAACTGGTGATTTCCCCGCCCTTATCTCTATATCCCTTTTGCTTGTTCCACTGCCTATTGCCAGCTGAGGAACACATACCCCGGCCCCCAAACACCCCCATCCCTCCGCCGAATGATCAGCAGCATACATTTTGATCGACAGAGGCCCAAAATCGATTGAAAGAAATGCACGCTGCCAGCTGTGGAAGTCATCCCCCAACCCAACATGCACAACTGTCCCCACAACCCTTTCATCACACGATCCCCAAAATCGGTCGAAACAATGCAAGCTGCAGCAGGGCATGGTGAGTTCCTGCTCTGCTGCGTACCTTTTTGCGTCGCTGTCGCTCACTCGTCCGCACCGCAAGACCGTGCTGATCAACTCCCATTTGTGGTTCCTGTCGCATGGGGCGTGCATGCGGTGTGCGCGCGTGCATGAAACGCGAACGAACGAGCCAAATAGAATCGAATGAATGAATGTATGAAAGAGGACCAAAATGAATGCAGACAAAAGAAGACCTGTTCAGGAACCCAGCGATCACTGGATCGGCCACAAAGTCTAGCCAATCAACCACCGCACAGTTTCCAGCTCCGTTCCCACTTTCACTGTCATTTCCCTTGCTTTCTTCTTTATGACACTTGCAGTCTCACAGTCCTTTCCTTTCACTTAATTTCTTCAAATCTTCAAATCTTTATTACATCCGCATGCCACGTCAGAAAGAATTGAGGCCAATAGCAAAATCGTTATATTCAAACATGCAGCAATGACAGCTCTACATCCCCCACATCTATATCTGAACAGCACCACTGAACAGTCCACGTGTAGCTCAATTTGCTGAATATCTAACGATTACAGGAGTTTACAGGGGACATCTCCTCGTACATGAACTATGTCTGCAACTCAGATCATGCGGATTTCAGGGCACATGCATGTGCCTAAAATTATCACAGGGCATTAATAAGCAAGAGCTTGAGGCCAGTACTATCATCATGGCTTATCGTGTATAAGATCAGCATGGAGCACGAAGCAAGGGTTTGTGGGTAAGTATCATGACACAGATCGAATCTGCTCGTGAAGCACTCAGGCAGAACGAGCAGATGTATCAGACTAAACTAAATGCAGTAGTTTTGCAAGAAGTGCACACAAGATTTGTACTTGCACCCCAGGTCCGCAGAGCGTAGAAATCATGATTCAAGCTGTCAGGCGGTCCACAAATGGCAATGCAGATACAACCTCGCCTTCAGTGCATTCTTCGTGTGCAATCGCGCACATCAAGGGGGCAGGGAGTGTCCAAGCCATGCAGGGGTGAAACCTGCATCCTGAACTTGCACAGGCCCTGCTCACCAAGCTGCGCTGAGGCCTAGGAGGCAGAGAGTAGGGCCTCAGGACTCATCGTGAAATCGCATGATCTGCACGTGAGTCACTCGTGTAAACCCCTGCACCCAGGAAGTAGGCGCTGATCTACCAAACTTCATCACCACCACAATTTGGAGTAGATTACAGCTTTCTGTCAAACCAGCCTCACTGGGAACAGACAACCGCGACTCAGCACTTTTCTCGCACCAAACCAACCAGCCAACTTCTAAAACAACTTCTAATCGCATGCACCACCCCTGCAGATCATAAATGTTCAGGTATTTCGAATTGCAACTCCGCATGACATGAATCAACCTCAATCTCATCCTTCCTAGATAACACACGACATATTCAGGCTTTCATCCCCACAACAGAGGCCATGCTGTCTTTCTCCCTACCATCACCCACTGCTTGTCATCTCTACCCGCACAGCTTTCCCACACCCCCTACTTACTAGTTCTTCACCATTTCCCTCTCTTCTGGAGTCCAGCCGCTGTCACATATGCAGGAGGACCTCTGAACAAGGCCAAGTTGTTTTTCTTCACTTTTCAACATGAGTTCCGTAACCACTTCGTGTAGTCGAATTTATCCAAACAACCCATTGTAAATTTTGATAAATCACCAAGACGACAACATGATGCAATGACTGACAAAACCGGAAAGAACCAATTCAAGCAACATACGCTAGGCTGATTGATTTCTCCCACAATTCACACCAGACACACAATACATAGAACCACCCCGGTAAACAATATATCGATTCCAGAGAACCCATTTCCCATAAATGATGGACAACTTCACACAAGCCCGCTACACTGACTGATAAGTACCTCCATTATCAATCCACCTATATTTTAGCCAGGGCTATCACGAACCGGGATAAAGGCATGGCTGATGTGTGGGGGTGGGTCCGACTAGAACAAAAACCAAAATCGGACTCTCATATAGAAGTCAACTATGCAGTGCTTTGGGTCCTCAACCGTTGTATAAAATTGGCTCCTCAACTGCCTGAAAATGCTCAACCATCTATTCCAACAAACTTCTGTAGAGGATAGGTGTGGAGCTGTTAGCCACCACGACACATGTGGGGGCCCTTTTCCCAAAGAGTGGTGACCACAGGAAGCCCCGACATTTCTCTCTCAAACAGGCAAACACCAGTAGAGTATAGAGACCCCTTGAGCATCTCAAGAGATCCGTATGTATGTTGTGATGGTTTAAAACTACCGGTACATCCGGGCCTCTTTTACCACCCTGCGTGCCAAGCTTTGCTTAAATGCCAGCGCAGCGCTTTCTCTACAAGCAATTTTGGTCCGGTAGCCCGGAGCGCCCGGAACTTTTGTTTTGGCTCAATCTCAATTCCCAAGTTTGCCTGGGTAATGTACTGGCGGTTTACATTGCTGCGACTCCACAGTACACCTTGCACCCCAGATTGACGTACAAGAAATAGCTGCTGAAAACGTTTTAATTGCCAATCATGAGTCTAAGGAGTTGCGAAGACGGAGATGGTAGAGACGGGTCAGACGGAGCAGGGCAGCAGTGGCAGTCGCTACACTCTCTCTCTCTCTCTCTCTAGCACGCGCACATGCACGTTTGGCGATGATGCAAACAGGGAGTTGGAAAAAAGGAGATGGCAGAGACAGATCAAACGGAAGTTCGTAGTGCAGGGAGAGCAGGTGGCAGCATCCCGTGGGTGAAGTCGACCTGAAGTTGGGAGAATGAACAATCGAGGGATGAGGTCAGAAGGAATGGAGGACACGGGGCGGATATTGGGTGGAGGTCTGGCAAAGGCCAGGCCTATTGGAAGGTCACGGGGAGAGAGGGAGCATGCCATGGACCAGGCGGAGGCAGAGAAGAAATTGGTCAGAAGAGGTGGGGGAGGTGTGCCGGAAGAGATGGAGTGAAGGCAGAGAGGAGGCCAGCCGAAAGGGTGAAGGATGGGCGGAGGGAGGGAAGTCCGGGTGGATGTAGGGAGCAGTAGGCCAGGGAGGTCAAGGGTAGGCGAGGAGGACAGGTTGAGCAACGGAGGAGAAGATCAAGTGCAGTGGGGGAGGAGGAAATACAGCAGAGGAAAGGAAGGAGGACATTGGGCAAGGGCGGGGAGTGGGTGAAGGCGAGAGGCAGGAGGAGATCAGGTAGAAGCAAAGAGGAGGTAGGGTGGAGGCAGGGAGGAAGAGGTTGAAGGGACCGACATGAGGAAAAGAAAGTTCGGCAAAGTTGAGGTCTGCTGAAAGCGGGGCGTGGAAGGTCAGGTAGAGGGAGGGCGGATGTGGTGAGCTAAGGGAGAGAGGATGGGCGGGGCCAGGGAGGAGTTGGTGCAGAGGACGCAAGAACAGAAGGTCGACATGGACAGCAGTGAGGAGTGTCATAGGCAGACGGCAGCAAGCGACATCACACAGTGAAAACAAGCAATGGGCGGCGCAGACAGACTCGGAACAGGCAGCAGCAACCGGCCGAGGCAACTAGCACTTGCAGGTGGTGATGGACAGCAACTTTGTTGCCATTTGCCCATCATCACCCAGCCGCTTGGTCGGACAGTTACCTTGCAGTAAGGCCCACCCACATAAGCCGACGATCTGGGCCGTTCACATGACTGAAACCCCAGATCATTGCCACATCACCAGCCAAGGCCGTTCATGCCAGATCACAGGTGTGGTGATCTGCGTGCAATCTGGGCTGCTGATATGCACGAACATGAAGTGTGGTGATCAGCCTGCAATCTGGGCTGCGGACATGCACGAACTGGAAAGATATGAATTGTGGTGATCAGCCTGCAATCTGGACCGTTAACATGCACGAACGGCGACTGGCCCAGATGAGGCCCATATGTACCTTAGCGGTTTCTATGTCCCATAGATGGGTGACTACTTGGAGCGAACTGCTCAGGATTCTGTTTTCCATCTCCTAAGGAGAGATGAGCATATTTTCACAGGACAATCAAGCAACTCACAAGAGACACCATGAAGGTAAACCATCTGATGTCTCATGGACGACATAAAGGCAGTCGCAGAGAACCTTCCTGATGTCTCATGGACGACAGAAAGGCAGTCACAGAGATATGGATGTTCGGGAGACGGTCACAGAGAAACGACAGTCGTGAGTTTCATCGATTGTCCTCTCAAAGACAAATCCTGTCATCGACTGGACATGAATGTACAACCTATAGGCCAAAGCGTTCACAAAGCCTGTATGACCTTTGTTTTTTGCCTCCCGTGGACAGGCCAAGAGTACTGCCTTGCTCCAAATCAGAGCATTTATTGCCTCGATGAGGCTTGAAAAGAGCCGCATACATACATTTGCAGCATTCCAACGTTAGACTAGTTGCCAGCGTTCACAAGAGTGCAGGCAGGCATGGGAAATATGAGCTCATTCCATAGGAGCAGCAGAAATGGAAAATTGTCCAGTTGGATGAACTAACCTGAAATCCTGCACTCTTTTCAAACGTTGCAATCTTGTGCACAAATCCAAACGCAGAAAATACCTGCATCAGACACAATGGCCGCAATTGGCCCAAAAAAGAACTTCAGTTCGCTGGAGGTAGAGAGAAGGAACAAGTCCTCAGCAGACAACTGCTTCATATATTTGATGCAAACCAGCAAGCTACAGACTCGCCAGCTTTTTCCCTTCCCTCAACACAAAAGCAACAAACCAATACATGGTCAAAAGGAGAAGATACTTTTTAGAACAAAACGTATTGCCAAACAGAAAGACACACCAAGAAAGAGCAGTTCAATTGGGAGCAGGGCTCTTTTCCCAGACCTCATTCAGAACCATAGTGCAACAGCCGAAGGCATTCCTCACATACGTGCAACAGAAACAACGAAAACATCATGTGGTCAAAAGGGCCACAAACATCATCACCAAGGGCACGAGAAAAATAAAGAAAGGGACCAAATGGGAAGAAAGCAGGCCACCAAGTAGGCGTAAATGATCCTTGAGACAGAAAAATACAAAAGACACCAGGAGCTAAACACCACTACAAGTGGCAAAAGAGACATGAGCCTGCAGAATAGAATCCGAGAACACAAGGACAGAAGTGTGGCTAAGCGCGAGAACAGAGGACACATAGGAATGCAGTCCGGTTTGTGTGCAGGTTCCCGCTAATTAGATACGGGACAGTGAAAGGCCAAATGACATAGTCTGTCACTGCGTTGGCTCGCTGATAAGGTTTTGAGCAGCTGTGGTCAGGCCATTACTGAGTCTGTCACTGCGTTGGCTCGCTGATAAGGTTTTGAGCAGCTGTGGTCAGGCCATTACTGAAAGTCATTTACCCAGTGTTTTGTGCAGGCCGTCTCCAGAGTGTATTTTCGGGCAGCGACAGATCTTCAAACGGTTCTTGGTGCTTTCTGGATTCTCTGCGTGGGGTCTGAACCTGCAATCGGTGAAGTCTCTTCCATTTAGGGTGCAAATCCACTTTGATTTCCGTCAGCATGGAAAAGGCTTAATTCAAGCAACACACCGGCAGCCGGCTGCGGTTCAACCTCTTGCTGAATTCAATTGCATCAGTCAAAACAGTCTGTCACAGTCTCCTGTTTTCTGTCCCTCTGCCTTGAGTTTACCATGCACTTCCCTATGACAGCAAATAATCCACATACAGGACATCCAGTTATACAGAGAGGCCAAGATCCAGCTTCCAAACGACTGCACATACATCTCCATACTTCCGTGGGATTTCACCAACCTCGTTTGGTTGAGGTTTTCCATTTTGGGGGGGCCTGAAATCACCGAAGTTCTACCAGATTTCACTCTACAGCAGACCCGCCACCATTACGAAGCCCATTACCAAGAGCACTTCACAGCTGCCGAGCTCAGTGCCCCCGCTCAGGTAGTCAGTTTTCCATCTGGAAAGAAAAGGATCGATCATGGCTGAACCTGCTTTCCATCACCGGACAATCAACCGAACGTACGTTTTTTTTTGTCCAAATGGAATCTCGGCCAGAACGTCCCATACACAACAAGCAGAAGGTACATACAATAATATACTCCTGGTTGCTTGCCATGGGGGGTAAGGAGGAGGGAGAGGAGGGGCGGAGAACAGACAATACTCAGAAACAGGCATAGGGGGGTAAGGTGGAGGGAGAGGAGGGTGGGAGAACAGACGATACTGCAAGAAACAGGCATACAGCTTTTACAGGGGCCAACTCGAAATACATTCACTTCATTTCAGGGAGGAAAGTACAGGCATTTCCATTATAGCAATGTGAAAGAGTTTTCAGAGAGCACATTGGAGTGCACATCAGCCCGCACATACCCAAAACATCAATCATTACCAGGCAGGGAACCAAGAAATGATGACCGACTTCCTACTCTTCTACCGAACTGCTATGATCGACAAGATCCACTCCACCTTGACCATCCCCTCCTACCTCCCAATACCACAGTAGCGGAAACATCAGTGTAATACTGCCATGACATGACATTCAAAACATTGATGTGGGAGTCCTTCCGCAGTATCATCTGCCCCCTCCGCACCCTTCCCATCAGCCTTCCAACCTCGGCATTTTTACCATACCTCCAACTCTGGCCCCCACCAGACACGATTTCGTTCTTTTCTAATTCTGTTTCTCGTTTTGTTATTACCATTTCCGCAGGCACAATGACGCTAGATGCCTTGTGTTCTTTTGCAATTAATTTTTGGTTTTCCTTTTGCACCTTGCTTTCCAAGTTTGGCTTCATCTTTTCTTAATTCTCTTTCGCTACCCTTACGTATAGCTGCAGATCAAGGTAGAACCTCACATCCCGAACCCAGGGCTTGGTTGACCCAAGTCACAGACAAGGGTGGTGGGTGTGATCTCCTGCATCCACTGACTCCAGTAACACACTGGCTCCAGTAACAACCGCCAAGGCGATGCATCTGTTCATCAGATGGAACTGCCCTGCTCAGCGAATCAATGCACGAGGTCAGCAATTCATGAGACCAAACTCGAGCAGACCCAAATGTGGGGTCGAAAACAACATAGCGAAGACCCATGCTCCGTAACTGTTGTGAGACTCGTCTTGAAGGTAAACAAATCGCAATATATAAAAGAAGAAAATTCCAGATATGTCGTGGAAACCACAGCCAAGCTACTGCTTTGGACTGAACGCGGGCACATGTGCCGTCGCATGAGCAAATTTGGCCCCTGAATACGATACTACCTCGCCTAGACAAGTTTTCCTCAGAGAGCGATTTGCCTTTCTTTCGTTCACAGCCATCTGATCGGCCAAGCAGGCATTTGAGCACCTCTTCTGTGGGGCCTATATAGGTTATCAATCAACAAGCTACATCTACCTACAATTGCAAAACTGAAATTGCTGACCGTAAGGCCATAGTTTAAGACCGCAGCCAAGTAAGCGCAAGGACTATCAAAAGAACGCTGCATTTACCACCACGTCGACTTCCACAGCAAGAGAGTAGCCAGAGAAAAGAAGAAAAGATGCAATGCTGGGCCCCTTACCCACGACTCCCAAAAAAAGCTCAAACGCTGACAAATAACAAACATAGACCAACTGCTCAGTGGCACCTTCAAGGGGAGAAACCACTTAAAAGTAGGAAATACAAAACGGGGGGGACGGTGGGGGACGGGGGGGTCAGATGCATTGAGATCCTCAAAATCATCACAACTTCTGCAGACTTTCACTGTACAGAGAGAATCGCATCACCGCCAATCGTTAGTGCAACACCGCAGTTGTACTCGTTCTTAACCTTCAGACGCAATCACTAATTAACACTCGTTTGTAACTGATTGTCAAAGATTAAGAGTTCCATTTCTCTATCGACTTGGAACGCGACCAACAGAGTCGACAGTCTGCTCAACATGGAATGAATCACGTTGCATGGACTGCAGTTTTTGTCCTTTCTGGCTTTGCTTAGGCCTTCATTTTGAGCTCCGGGCCAACTTGGTTACTGGGGTATATGAGGGTATAAAGCCGCACGAAGGGAAATGAGATGGCAAACCCCGTCACTCAAACGGGGCAGTGAAGTGTCGAGTGTTGAAGGTGTTGAGCGGAAATTCGGTGCCCCAAAAATCGACATCATTAAACAAACTCCCATACACAGCTAGCTATTCGTATGAGGGTATGAGGGTCGGCAGCAAAGAGTATCCCAGAACAGAATAAATCACGCAAATCTACACTAACCACAACATCAGTACGTTTCTCAGACAATGTGAACCCGATCAAAAGGCCTGACAAAAGAAACAACAACAAAGCCCATAAAAAAATGAAGTTCAGATAGGGGATCTACATACAATATGAAAAAAGAAACTGCAGCAAAATTTGTTCTACTCTATTTCGTTAATACCATTTACTCTAAGGGAAAAGCAAAATGCTTCCCCAAAAAAAAAAAAAAAAATCCAGTAGCAGAAAAAAGATCCATAGCCGGACTGCAAGCACACTCAAGAAAAAGACAAGACAGCCGGACTGCAAGCAACCACGAGAACCCAATCTTGGTAGCACAAAGACAGACCAGGAAAGCAACTGCAGTTATTTCAAAGGATCAAAATAAAAACACACAATGGCAACTAGTCAACCCCCCTGCTCTGTCCCCCATGAGAGATCTCGAAAAGGGGGAAGACAAGCAGTCGGGCGAACCACTTCAAACGTTCAAATGGATGCAAAAGAAACTAACGACTATCCTATGCTCCCCAGACTCGACGGGACAATATGATATGAGTGAAACCCATCGGTCTGCCTGGAACAGAGGGTCCAAACCTAGTACGGACAGTCATATACCGACGACCACCCCTCCACCACCTCCAGAGTTCCAAACTGACCACGCAAACACGCGGACCTTTCCACTCCCCTGTAATAACAACGTAGCCAGTCGAATTGCCAGGACCTCACTCTATTGACCTAACGAACACACGGATGTTCCCGCTCGCTGTAAAAACCGTGGCGAGTCGTCAACCTGCTAGAAGCTAGAAGCTCAACCTGCTAGAAGCTAGAAGCTCAACTTGCTAGAAGCTAGAAGCTCAACCTGCTAGAAGCTAGAAGCTAGAAGCTCACTCTATTTTCGATTCGCAGCAGGTCGTCCGCCGATTAGGCGAGGATACAGTGCCTTTCTACCACACAGCACGAACGGCGACCAATTAACAGACCATCCATCCATAAACGCAGGTCGAACCATCACACAAATTCAGCAACACTAGGAGAACGAGAACCGTCCTCCCTCCCTGGCACATCGCAGAGGACTCATCGTACCCCTGCTCTCGCACGCATATCGAGAGCATATCGAGAGCCACAGCAACGATTGCTGTCAACCTATCCTCGAGTACAGAAAGAAGTCGCCCTTATTCAATTTGTTGCGAAATGGTCGACCAACGAACGACACAATGTCGACTACTGGGATTGTACCCTCCGGTCAAATAATACTGTGTTCAGCAACGGAAGGGTAAAAACCCCAAACTTCTTTCGCTGACGCACACGTGGACGGGCTCGCGTGCCGCTCCTCTAATCGCAAAGCCCAAGGCCAGCGATTCACCTCTCGAAGGAAGGATAAATAAAGAGTAGTACTATGGAAACGGAACGCATATGGGTTGAGAGCTGGTGTTGGTTTCATAGCGTTCCCATTATGTAATTATCCGTACAGCACTCTGCGACTTATAAATGCCGTTGATATCTCCTGCTGGACTCTTATGAGAACGGCAAAACTGTTGGACCTCGATAGATAAGACTGCTCTACGTAAACTGTATGAGCTCGATAGACTGCTCTACATTTAACCAAGCGAAGAGTGACCGATTCATCGTGCACTGTGGTGAATAAATAAACAAGCTTATTCGGCAGCCTCCTCCTCCTAAGGACGAAGAGAGCAGGCGTGGGCGAGTGCTGGCCCTCGTCTCCAACGAACCGAATGAGCAACGGACCGAAGACGAAGAACAGATGGGTGGACAGAGTAAACGGAGACCCATCCGCGGGCGAGTCTACAGCCGTCTGCGGACGAGTATTCCTACAGCCGTTGACCCTAGAGAGACAGCTCAGTAGAAAATGGGACAAGGGGTCAAAGGCAGAGTAGAAGAGGGTCAACAATAACGTCGAAAAGAGGTGGTTGAGTGGAGGGCTGGGGAGGGAACCAATTGAGGGAGGAAAAGAAGGAACAGAAGAAGCTTATTCCTCAACAGAAGGGCGCTCAAGGATGGGCTGGGAGGAGGCAAAGGAGAAGATAAACAGTATGCATGCACGCATATTCTCGGGGTTTAACTGGAGTAAGGAAGAGGAAAGAGGGCATTGAAAGAAGAAACTGCAGGAAGAAAGAGGCCAAAGGTTGGTTGGTCAAAGGTTCGATGATCAACAATCAATTGATCGAGGGTAGTCCAGGGGGTGTTGTCGGGAGGGTCGTCGGAGGGTTGGGGGGTTGGGGG